CCATACAGTGGAAGAGACTGAAATTTTAGGAAAAGGTGCTTTCCAGTATGGCAAAATTAAAGGGTTTTTTAGGCGCCTCTCTATTTTCATGGGAGTTCTTAGATAGGTTGTTGTGTGTTCTATTGCAGCTCTCCGGGAAGACTTGGAACTTTGGATTGAAGTTCGTGCTAAATGTCCATGTATAAAATGCCGAGTAGGTGCAAATATTTTGTAAGCGGGCTGTGGCTGTACTTTGGATTGCGTGCAGCCGCAGAAACAACCTGGTTGAATAAACCTGGATCCACCATGAGGCCGATCAAAAGACGGGGCCGCGGGGGCGTTGACCCCGGGGAGCTTTCAGGTAAACTCCAAGGTAGGGGGGGTGTTGTCCGAAACTTGATGGGATATTATTGTAATAGCTGATTTTAGATGGGGAGGTTTTTAGGTGGTTTTTGTTGTAGATTCTCAAGCACAAATACCATTAGTAATAGTGAATAATGTGGCTTAAGGAACACAGTAGCGTATTTTGGATAGAATGCCCAGAGGTTTTGCAACTTTCTTAGATATGTGTTGGATGCGAGTGTTGAATTTTAGGTAGTAAGTTTATTCAGGTAAAACCCCAAATACAGTTACATAGATTATATACATAGCAGCACATTGTAGAGAACCTAGGATAACCCAAAAAGTCAGACAGAGTGACTTATTTCCATTAAGTGTATACCTAAGAATTTTCCAACAAATATAATTATGTCTTGCCAATATTGAAAGTAAGTTTGTTGGTGGCCATCCAGGTAGAAATATTTACGAACTCATAGTTGACTGTATTTTTTGAGGGCTTTTGGGTATAATAGGTTTATCCAGGCACAGGTACATGTAAGTACAATTACCATACGTAGTGTAAATTACCTAGCATAGGCCAGAAAAGTCAAAGTGATTAAATACAACGAATGTTGTGTCATCAGCAAACAGGACTGGTGTAAGTTCCTGGGAGGAATTTGGGTGAGAAGTAAGAGTGGGGTAAATGCTCTACCCTGCGGCACCTCTAAGGTTAATAGTTTGGGTAGAGTAAGTAGTGTTGAGGGTCACAAGCTGCCGTCTGTCTGCAAAAGTATAACCTCTGATTCCATAATGTTCTGCTCTCAGGATATTGTGATTTGCAATGTCAAAGTTTTCCCTCAGTTCAATAAAGAAGCCCACTGAATATTTATTATTTACTGGAGCTGAATAAACTGAGCCTACCATCTTTAAGATAGCATCATTGGTACTTTTTGCTGGCCTGAAGTCAAACTGGCAAGTGCTAAGAATATTTTGTATAAGGATAATTGCATATATTCGTTTATTCATTATCTTTTAAGAGTTTTTCATAATAAAGTCAAGTTAGAGATTGGTCTGTAGTTATTAATATCAACTGGGTCTCCACCTTTAAAGACTTGGGTAACTCGCGCAAGTTTATATACATTTAAGAAAATTTGGGTTTCAAGAGATTTATTAAACAAAGTGGCAATAATAGGTGATAACACATGGGCAGCTGTCTTATATATGACAGGTGGAAAGTGAAACCATGAGCTGTATGCACCTAAACAGAAGAAAACAACGTTTTCTCACTAGCAATATCAAAACAATAGAAGAAAACGAGAGTCTCTGTTTAATATTCTGCATGGTTAACTAACCTATTTTGAGCTTTGTGCCCGAACCTAGTTGAGGTTCTCATACACTGTATATACTGTGAGATATATACCTTAATAAATACACTATAAAGTGCAGTTAATAGCAGGTGATAGACAGTTTGTTTTCTAACTATAATATTTGACGGGTAAAAAAATTACAATGCTTTAAGGCATTAAAATTAATTAAGTTATTTAGGGACAGTTTGACTTTTGGATGGTTACTTTTTGCCTTAAATTAGTAACATGTATAAATTACCGAGGATAATTATTATATACTGCGGGTGTTACCAGTAAAAAATCCTAGTCACGCTGAGTGCAGTTATATACGCGTTGAAAAAAATATTCTTCTGTAAATTCTGTCTACATTCTGACGTGCATGTAAATGTAATGTTATTATAAAAAGTATTTGAGTTAAAGATTTTGAATTTAAGTATGACCCCAAGTGATGTATGGGTCATATGTAGCTTGGGGGATGGGAGGCTGTCAGGTCTGATCCAAGGAAAGGGAGGGTAATTCCAGCATCAAGTGCCGATAATGGCTTTTACATAGTTAAGATATGTTCTCCAATGGAAATAAGTCACTGATTTTTTTTTTTTTTTTTTTTTTTGGGGGGGGGGGTTCTGGGTTCTCTACACATATGCTGATATGTATGATAATCTATGTAACTGTATTTATGTATACCTGAATAAACTTACTTATAAAATGAAATCGTGAGTCTTTTGATCCCGTTGTCCACAATTCTCTCATATCCAAGTTTAACTACTATGGTCTCGGACTTGTATTGTTTGTCATACCTCAGTAATAATCAGCAACAGCATGCAGTCATGGCCTCTACGACACTGCGCTGTGTCCGTGGTTCGATCCTTGGGAAAGGTGAAAACATTGGGCTTGTTTCCTTACACCTGTTGTCCCGTTCACCTAGCAAGCAAGTAGGTACCTGAATGTTAGTCGACTGGTGTGGGTGGCATCCTTGGGGGACAAGCCTGAGGCCCCCCACTGGAAAAAAGGGACAGTCCCTCGATGACGCACTGACTAACCTGGGTTTTCTTGCGTGATTAACCCCCCGAGCTTAAAAACCCGAATAAAATCTTAAGTGTACCCTGAGGTAGCATTCTGGACCCTCATCTGTATCAGTGACCGACTTAAGGATCCCTAGCTTTATTGACAAGCTATTTACAGGTTAAGGATTCCTAACTTTATTGACAAGCTAAGAGCTGTTACCTACATCAGCTCAGTTGAAAGCTTGTACAAGGTACCAATAAAATGTTTTTTTTATTTTATTATTCATTTGTGTTTATTAATGCTAAGTTTACAACATATGGGCTCAACCAGGCTGTACACAATCCAATCAGACCCTTGTATCTATCTCAGTCACCCTTATATTACCGAGTGATATAATATATATATATATATATTATATATATATTTATATATATATATATATATATATATATATATCATTCAAATTCGATTTAGATTTTTTAATATTTTAGGAGTTTGGTAATTATGGTATCGTTAAACTTGTCGTCAGGAGTCGGAGTAGAAATATATATATATATATTATATATATAAATATATTATATATATATATATATATAATATATATAATATATATATAAATATATATATATATATATATATGCAAAATAACCACAAATAGAGGGGTTGCTTTTGATATAAAAGTTTGATAGAGCACATTATGCGACTATCTTCATTGATTCATGTTATTAAATAAAGCTGGTAAGAATATACGGTATATTAAATACAAGGAATAATATATAATGACTGGGAGTTTTGTGTCTAGGTATATTCCCTAGATCGTTATAAACTCACGTCTAGGGTATAATAGTTGATATTATTGTATTTCACCTCCTGTGACATAATAATTGACGGAGAGGAAGATGTAGACGAAGAAAAAGTCTATTCATTTGGTTAATCCAGAGTTAGTAATCCGTGGGAGTCAAGTAATTGTGGCTGAACTCAGTTGTGGTCGTCTGGTACATGATGGCACTCATGACCATCGACTAACACCCAGGTACCTACTTACTGCTAGGTGAACAAGTGCAACAGGTGTAAAGAAATATACCTAACGTCTTCACCTGTGCTGGGATTGAACCCCGGTCCTTCAGACGTGTGCTGACAGATCTTGCTTCCTCTTCAGCCTCGAGTAAGAACTAAAGTGATGGTGGAGAGCTGCACTTCCTTAAATCAAACTTGTATAATGCGGGAATTCTTGTAATAACACATTAATTATTGGCGTTTAAGGCCTGTTGACTACAAGGAAGGTGACAGTTGTGCCGGTTTATTGGTATACCTCTGAGTCTGCTACTGCCAGGACCGTGGTTCAGTAATGTCCGATAGACTGTCTCTATCGTTAATAGCAATTGTACTTCATGTTACGTTACAGCTATTGTACTCCATATTGCGTTACGTTACAGGAGGTGGAGTTCAATAATAGTAACACAGTATATGTTTACTGATACAGTATATGTTTACTGATAGATACACGTCTCTGTGTATAAACAATGAGGGAAAACCAAAAATCCTCTGTATCTCACTTGTTTACATTTGCTTATGACATATTAATAATTTTTTTGCGCATCAAAACCGGTAAAGTTAATTTTTTATTATTGTTAGATAATTTGTTAGTTTGTATCTTACTGGATCTGATGATGACATTAAAAAACCGAAAGGATGATCAAATATTTTCTCTAATTATATGTGGTTGTTCTTGCATATATATATATTTTATATATAATATATATATTTTATATATATATATATATATATATATTATATATATATAATATATATAATTTTATATATATATTAAACGTCGAGGTTGAAGGCTAGTTTTAACTTTCGATATATCTATACATTTTATTTGTAAGTAATTTTTTTTTACATTTCTTATGGTACATTCTGTACAGTAATTTTGGGGGTAGTTAGCCTCCTATAGAGCTCCTCTCATTTAATAGGAACTCTGTTTGTTAGGTGCAGAATAGTAGGGACTCTTTTCGTTAGTTAGCAGGACTCCCGGGGGTTAGTTAAGAGTTTGAGGAATTTCCTGTCGTTGGCTGGTCATTGAAGGAGGGGGTCACCCGAGACCTGCTGTGGTGCTCCACTTCGTCGTTGTTTACGTCTGTGTCGTTCCGAGTCCATGGCGTCGTTCCTGTGGTGCTAGGAGTTGTGTAAGCCTCAGAAATCACGGAAGAGTGTAGAGGGCCCGATGGCGCTGCAGGTGTGGCGATGGTGTACCCAGGGAATAATTTGGTGTTTGGGCGGGGCGTGGGTGGGTACCTGGACTGGGTTTGGGCGTGGACTTAGTGATGGACCTGTTGGGGGTACACCTAGTGGTGGGCTCGGGCGTGGACTTAGTGGTGGACCTGATGGTGGTAACCTAGTGGTGGGCTTGGGCGTGGACTTAGTGGTGGACCTGATGGTGGTACACCTAGTGATGGGCTCGGGCGTGGCCTTAGTGGTGGACCTGATGGTGGTACACTTAGTGATGGGCTCGGGCGTGGCCTTAGTGGTGGACCTGATGGTGGTAAACCTAGTGGTGGGCTTGGGCGTGGACTTAGTGGTGGACTTGATGGTGGTACACCTAATGGTGGGCTTGGGCGTGGACTTAGTGGTGGACTTGATGGTGGTACACCTAATGGTGGGCTTGGGCGTGGACTTAGTGGTGGACCTGATGGTGGTACACCTAGTGGTGGGCTCGGGCGTGGACTTAGTGGTGGACCTGATGGTGGTACACCTAGTGGTGGGCGTACTACATCATGGGTTGGCGGTCGGGGTTTTGGGATTGTTGGTCGGGGTCTTGAGATTGGAGGTAGCTTAGAAATTGGGGTATCAAACTGAACTGTAGGTCCAGGACCCGGTACAACACTGGGAACCAAGAAAGATGAAGCGCCAGAGGCCGGTCTACCTGTAACCTGATAGGGACTCTCAGGGGGAACTATGCCTATCTCAGCGTTCTTGTCGTAGAATGACTCCGCAGTAGAGCAGTCGACCATGTTCCACCAGCGGCAGGTGAAGTGTTCCTGGCTGAAGATGGTGCCGTTGGGACACAGGACCTTGGTGCTGGTGTCGAAGAGGCAGATGTGGAACACTTGACACCGGGTCTCCGTATCAGCGTAGTAACCTGGAAAGAGATATTGATACATTAGCCAGACAGACGACAAGGAAATTTTCGAAAGTGGATGTAGCCTGTGTTGTCTATTGATCTCTTTGTCTATTAATTTATATAGCAATCCTGCTATTAATTGTTATAACTTATTATTATTAAAGATTCGCCGGTATTCTCCCGGCCCGGGCCTTTTCCAAGTGGTGGCCCGGCCTTGGCTCCCTCTCTAGGGAGTGTCTGAGACCTAAGTCTTCCATGGGAGGAGGTACAAGTACCCCCTCATCTTTGGGACCAACTGTCCCCAGGCCTAGCCACATTTCCCACCCTCACGGGGCTCGTAGGGAGAAGCTAGGCCTATGTGGTCTACCATCCCCGCCCCAAGCGGGCTAATGGGAATGGCAGTCTTGTGAGCTAAAAGCTCGGGCTCAGACATCTACCCTACCCTAGAAGGGCTGGGCATGGTGGCACCTACCCTACCCTAGAAGGGCTGGGCATGGTGTCACCTACCCTACCCTAGAAGGGCTGGGCATGGTGGCACCTACCCTACCCTAGAAGGGCTGGGCATGGTGTCGATCTCTTCTTGTTGATTTTTAGGTTTAATTAACTTAAGGGAACTTCTGTAATAAGTGAATAAACGTAATTTTATAAACGTAAGCAATGTTATATTTAAAAGGAGAAATAGAAAATAAAACGATTATATATTTTAGCATCGACACCATGCCCAGCCCCTTCTAGGGTAGGGTAGGGCCCCAAAGCCCCGTCTTCTGGGAGGGTAGGTGCACCATGCCCGCCCCTTTTAGGGTAGGAGGTGCCACCATGCCCAAACCTTCTAGGGTAAGGGGAGGTGCCACCATGGCCCAGCCCTTTAGGGTAGGGTAGTGCCACCTTGGCCGCCTTCTAGGTAGGGTAGGTGCACATGCCGCTCTTCTAGGGTAGGGTAAAGGGGCCACCATGCCCAGCTTTCTAGGGTTGTGGTAGGTCCAACCCCTGCCCAGCTCTTCTAGGGTAGGTAAGGGCCACCATGTCAGCCCTTCTGGGGTAGGTAGGGGCAAACCCGCCAGCTCTTTTAGGGTAGGTGCCACATGCCCAGCCCTTCTAGGGGTAGGGTAGGTGCCACCATGCCCAGCCCTTCTAGGGTAGGGTAGGTGCCACCATGCCCAGCCCTTCTAGGGTAGGGTAGGTGCCACCATGCCCAGCTCTTCTAGGGTAGGGTAGGTGCCACCATGCGCAGCCTTCTGGGTAGGGTAGTGCCACCATGCCCCGCCCTTCTAGGGTAGGGTAGGTGCCACCATGCCCAGCCCTTCTAGGGTAGGGTAGGTGCCACCATGCCCAGCCCTTCTAGGGTAGGGTAGGGCCACATGCCCAAACTTTAGGTAGGGTAGGTGCCACCATGCCCAGCCCTTCTAGGGTAGTGGTGCCTGACCCGAGCTTTTAGCCAAGGTCCACCATTGCCCCCTTTAGGGGTGGTGACCAGATTTTTTTTATATTATATATATTAAATACAAGGGGCCTAACCCGGAGGTTTAACCCGCCCGGGGTTTAAGGGTTCAGGGTTAAGGGGAAAAAGCCCAGCCTTCCTAAATAAGAGTCCCAACATCAAGCCCTCTTGGGGGGTAGGTTGACCAGAAGCTTCTTGTGGTAGGTGACCCTGGCCCAAAAATGAGGGGTAGTGCCTCCCGGGGGCTTTTTGCTCACAAGAGTGGAGCCAAGGCCCCCTTGGGGGGCGGGGGAGGTAACCGAATTTAAAATTAAATTTAATTTTTAAAAAAAGGAAAACGGGGATTACAACAAACCGATTGGAACTTCCCCGCTTAATACCGGGAATTCAAAAATTTTAAAGCCCCTTAAACCAAAGGCCGTTTGAGGGAAATTTTGCGAAAAGAGCCATTTCCAAAGTTTGGTAAAGTGAGGGGATTTTGGCCCCCCGGGAGTTGGGGCACTTGAACCCGGGCCCCTTTAAAAAGGCCGGGGGGGGGCCGGGAAACCGAAAGATTGAATAAATTAAGGGAAAACGGGGTTTTTCAAATAAAACTGTTTTACAAAATTCCCAGGGCTATCCGTTTTTTCGAAAAGATTTTGCTTTTGAAACCCCCAATGTAGATCTATCAAAAGAACCCAAAGAAAAATTGTGGGGGGGATTCACTCCCCCGCTTTCATGGGAGGCCGAGTTTGTCGAGCCCCTAGAAAAAGGAACAGGTGTCCTCCCCCTTGGGTAAATATAAAAAAAAATTAAAATAATTTTAATTTTTCATAATAAAATAATGTCGGGTAAAATAAAATAATAATATCTAATATTAATAAATAAATAATAAATTAATAATATAATAATAATAATAATAATAATTAATAATAAAATAATTAATAATATAAATAATAGTAACAAAAATTAATCAGTACTACATTACTACTACTACTAATAATAATATTAATAATAATTTTGTAACTAGACAACAGTTTACAGTTATATTCTTTCATAATTATCACTTACGCACATAATTACCTCTTAGATTGAGAGAGGCACTTAGGTGAACCAGTCCTGACCTGACTTGACCTTTGACCTCTGTGTTTCATCTCGGCAGATCCCTCCCCCTCCTTCCTCCCCTTGTTTCTCTTCTCTTTTCCCCTTCACTAAGCATTTTGTCATTTTATTTACGTTATTTTTCGCTTTATTTTTTGCTGTTGTTGTTTCTGGGTTGTATTGCCCTTCTCAGAACAATACAAACAATAACAGTTGTGTTTACCCTCTGTGTCAGTAGGTTAAAACTGATTGTAATCTCCTTTTGTTGTTCCAGCAGGAATATCTTTTGTCCTTACTACCTGTTCTCTCTCTCTCTTCTTCCCCCTCTCTCTCTCTCTCTCTCTCTCTCTCACTCTCTCTCTCTCCTCTTCTCTCTCTCTCTCTCTTCTCCTCTCTCTTCTCTCTCTCTCTCTCTCTTTGTTTCCTTTCTCTGTCGCCTCTTTATTGTGCGTCTGTGTGTGTGTGTGTGTGTGTGTTTTGCATATTTAATATGATGGTAAAGATTGGTACACGGAGACAGAAAGAAGACGAAGAACAAGAAGTGGGAAGAGAAGCGATAAATGATGGTGTGTACTCACATCACACACACACACACACACACACACACACACACACACACACACACACACACACACAACACACACACACACACACACACACACACACACACACACAGCCTTGAGAGAGGTGATGCTAAACATTACCTTTGCGTACCTTCCCCCAGGCTGACATGTGCCTACATATTTCTTCATTATAATTGAGGAAGCACTAAGTCATTATATATGCAAATCATCGTAAAGACTATATGTGCGTTAGATCAGTCACATGTAAGTTACAGGAAGAGTGTAAGTGGGAGTACGTGGAAGGACACACAGTAGAGGAGTTGGAAGTACACGTTGAAACTGTCTTCCGAGAAGAGCTATCTACTTCTGTCTAGGTTAAGGGCTCTCATTATTATTTGCGTAAAGGAAGAAAAGCAGAAGGCTCTCTTCCTGCTCTCCAGTCTCTTGACACTGTCGGCATGTAAACAGTGGAAACTGTGTTGAACATCAATCTTATCAACGTCAAAGTTCAAAGTGAATCAGCTGAGAGTTCCCCTGAAAGTCTAACCTTAAGATAATTTGGTAGAATTATTTCTTAAACTAAGTTACAGTGAGGCTGTACATTGTGTTAATTGTCTCTTTTGTATGTTCAGTTTTCGTCTAAGTCATAACGAGAATGAACATTGTGTTGAACGTTCCAATTGACGGTATGGTCCTACACTCGCACTAAGTTGCTTTCTAAGTTAGGTTTGTGTTTCAGTTCATCTAAGTCTTCCCTTCCACCATGCTGTGAACCCCAATGAAAAAAAATAATGGAAATACGTTAGATTACTTAACATATTTGTTTTCAGAATCATTGTACCGTTTATATTACTGTCTGTAAAATCATCAGTTGATTTCCTGAATGAAGTTAAACGCTTGTCCTGTCTCCTGATAAACCTTACCTAACCTTTATGTTTTTGTTTTAGGCAAGGGTCGTTCCGTTACCAAAACTCCACAAGTTGAAAAGTCGCTTATTGTTTCTTCGTTCAGGGTTTTTAAAATCATTATGCCTAGTTTTAGTTCTTTGTGCCCTTCAAATTGGAAGAAATCCCACTCTAGAAGTAGCTTCTAGGTAATCTTCAGTGTAATCCCCCACCACTATAATAAATCCACACCCGAGATAAAGCTTCTAATTAATCCCAGTGTCCTTGTGAAAACCCAATTCAGTAGATGACTCTTATGGAAACAAAAACCCAGTTCGTCTCTTATCCTGTCTCATCCGCCGTTCAAGAGGGAAATAAATACACATGACCTTTTCTGTAATATTCCGTTTGTTTCGAGAATTCTACAAACTACCTGATGCGCTGGAAATGACAGAGTTTTAAGGCTTCTTTCAGCTTTCAAAATCTGAAGATGAAGTCTAGTTCTATTTGCATAGTGGACGAGCTGAGGCTATCCTGAAGCGGGAGTCACAACATGGCTTCCTTAACTAGTCTGGCTGAGGGCCGTCCAGGGTGCAACACCAACAAGGTGTGCTGCTTCAGATCCTGTTCCGTTATCCTTGAATCCTCGGCAGGACGACCCTGACCCCTTCCCCTGCCCCTTAGCACCGACCCTGAACCACCCCTTCCCCTCCCCATGCTGGGATGGACTAACAATGGCTGTCTGGGAGCTCCAACGCTGGCCTTCGGGAGTTGGTACAAGCGCCTCTCCTCGCCATTATCCTTAATTGCATGGCTATCATGCTTACCTCGTCCTGCAGCATCCCACCGTGCACGGAATGCATAAAAAGATGCACCTTTCCTGTTACTGGACATGAAACAGCCATTTGAATGTGAGAAATGGGCAGTTATAATGTCAGATACAAAAAACGCGTTCTGCCGACGAGAAGTTCAAGAGTTCGCTTTTGTTGAGGGCAACTTTTCGCTCTGGGTAAAGGATTATCTTGTTATTTCGCTCTGTGTAGAGCATCATGT